CTCTAACTCATACATATCATTTAAGGTCAAGTTCAAGAACCATGTCTACCATGCACCTTTCTTTAAGATGTCATGGTTCACTGGGCTTCCTTACTTTAGAACTCATTCAGTAGTGATTCACTGAACAGTTATTATTCAGCAGAGTGCTGGCTGGTTATGTTCGCTAGGGCTGTTACAACAAAATACCACAGACTGGGTGGCAAACAAAAATTGAGGCTAGGTATGGTGGCTCACACCTGTAATCCCAGCACTTTGGGAGGCTGAGGCGGAAGGATCACTTGAGGTCAGGAGTTCGAGACCACCTGGCTAACATGGTGAAACCCTGTCGCTACCAAAAATATAAAAAATTAGTTGGGTGTGGTGGTGCGCACCTGTAGTCCCAGCTACACCGGAGGCTGAGGCAGGAGAATCACTTGAACCCGGGAGGCAGAGATTGCAGTAAGCCAAGATTGTGCCACTGCACTCCAGCCTGGGCAACAGAGTGAGACTCCGTCTCAAACTCCTCCCCACTGAAACAAAACAAAACAAACAAACAAACAAACAAAAAAATTGATTTCCTCACAGTTATGAAGGTTAGAAGTCCAAGATCAAGGTGTCAGCAGGTTTGAATTCTTCTGAAGCCCCTCTCTTTGTTGTGCAGATAGTCTCCTTTTCACTGTCATTCCTCTGTGTGTACACATAACATACCTGATGTCTCTTTGTGTGACCAATTTTCCTCTTCTTGTAAAGATACAAGTCTGATTGGCCTTATTTTAACTTAATCACCTCTTTAAAGGCTCTATCTCCAAACACCATCACATTCTGAAGTAGGGGGCATAAGGACATTAATGTATGAATTTTGGAGGGACACAATTCAGCCCCTAACACCAGTGGAGACAGGGGTGAAGAAGATATGCATCATCTTAGTGCTCCTGTAGTTTGACAGCGTGGTAAGGAACACAAGTGTTAAGCAACCATTTACGTGACTAGGCCATTAGTTACCCTTGTGGGATGACGCAAGAAGTAGAATACACAATCCTGGAAAAGGTAGTCTAGTGAAGTGAGACTGAAGGTAATCTGAAGAAGTGAGATCTGAAAGAAGGATGGATGGGAGCCAGCCAGCTGAAGAGAGAAAGAGAGAGTGTCAAGTATTCTAGACAGGAAGATCAGCATTTGTGAATTCCGGGCAGTGGGGAAGAGCATGGCTATCCAGGGAATTGAAAGAACCAGTGTAACAAGGAGTGAGTGATGGGAGCTGGCACCAGAAAGTCGAAAGGGCCAGATTACACAGGACCTTACTGACATCCTGATTTCAGTGCTTACTACATCCTGTCTTGGGACTGTTGTCAGAAAATCTTTTATGGGGGAGTGTTGGCATGCACGTTCTGCTTCTCCTTATGCTCCTTGAGGGAGAAGATCTGTCTTCAACTCCTTTTGTATTCTCTCTCCATAGTATGCAACATAGGGCTGGACATATAGTAGGTGCTCAAGAAATAAATTAAGTGGATATAATGAGAAATGAGATGAATAGAAGCACTCATTTGTCTAAATTAGGGGCTGACGTGATCTTGTTGGATGTGTTTCTCCTAGAGGCTCTGAAAGGTGAGGACTTTTGGTACTATAATGCCACCTAGTGATTCTTCTTATTACAACAACACAGGGGAGCAGGGTGGTGATTAGTCTTCTGTAATCCAGAAAATTGGAAATCAAGCATTTTGTTTCATCAGCATAAATTGATTTGTCCAACCACCCATTCTTTCATCCATTCATCCATCTCTGTTGATGCCCCCTGCATCTCTTTCCTATGAGCTGAACATGTCACGTGCCTTTCTACCTCCTTGTGGTTCTTTGATTGCTCATATTTGGGTCTTTTTGTCCTCCTATAAGTAAGGTCTCAGATATCAGTATCTAGATTCTCTGAGCTCCCATTGTGCTTTCTGTTAAAATGGCATATACTAAATTATACCATCATATTGCGTTAGAATTAACTGTAGATGTTCCTTCTGTCTTTCCCCCAATACAGATTGTGAATGCAAAGGGCAGTGACTCTGCCACAGTCACCTTGGTGCTTCCTGTGGGCAGCCGTGTGCCTACCATGCAGTAAGTTCTTTAAAAATTATTTACTGGATTGAATTGTTGTCACCTATGCAGGCCACCTGCTTATGAAATCTCTTTTAGGAGATCCCCTGGACATGGGAAGACACACAGCCCTGCACTTGACATCAGTGCAACACATGGGTGACCAGGGCCCTCTAGGTCTTTATTTTTGTTATATACCTTCAGAAATGTTATGGAGTTTCTCTGGATCATGGCAATCCCACAAGCCGATGGTCTCAATGTGTAATCAGGTTTCCTGTGAACACACAAAGCAGCCCGAGCTGGGTTGCCGGTCCCATTTCAAGCTCATTTCTATTTGCTTGGCTTACAGTGTGGTTCAGCCTACCTCTCCAGTTCATCCGCCACCTCTCCAGCAACCTCCATGCACATTATGACTCAGCCACATTTCCCTCTTTTTGTCCACCAGATATATAGTGTCAGGTCATGAATGAGATGTCACTGCACAGTTGTCAATTTTCCTTGAATTAATTCATCAATTCAACACAGTTCTCATAAACTTGACAAACTTACTCTAAAAATTATAAGGGAGGATAAAGGTCCATGGACAGACAAAGCAATTTTGACACAGAAGAATTTGGAATGGGGAACTTGCCCTTCAACCGTGATGACTAACTAAAAACCCACAGTGATAAAACCCTGTGCTACTGACACATGAACAAACCAGAGAGCTCAGAATATACTCATGTCTATTTGAAACTTTCCTAAACCAATTTGGGAAGAATGGATTGTTTGACATGAGTTGTTGGAAAATTTGCTCACCCTATGGAGAAAAATATAGTTAGATCCCTATCTCACACCATATGGGAAGGAAAACTCCAGATGGATTAGATAACTGAATGTAACAAAGTAAAACTATGAAGCTAATAGATAGAAAAAAATGATGGGTGAATACCTTTATGACATTGGGGTTAAGGAAGTCTAAATAATACCAAAAAACTATATAAAATATAGGGGAAAAAAGAGCTAAAGAGCCACAGTATGAAAATTAAGGACTGTTGTTCCCTTAAGGACATAAAGGCAGAGTTTCTAGTCTTCTAAAGCAGATTGATGTCCAGGCTTCTCAAAGATGTCTGCAAATCAAAAGAAAAAAGACCAATAGAAAAATAGGTGAAGACGCTGAAAAGGCAGTTCACAGAAGGGAATCTCAAGTAGCCTATGAATGTATAAAGAAATGGTCAAAAAATTCACTAGTAGTTAGAGAAGTGAAAATGAAAGCAAAAAATGTACTTACACTACTTTCATCATATTGACAGAAATTAGAAAATTAGCTAATTAGATGAGTCAATATTTGCAAAGCACTTAGAATAGTATCTGGCATTTACTAAACACTTTATGAGTGTTTAATAAAAAAGACCTACCATGTTCTGGAAGGGATGGATGGAAGTGTTGGATGGAAACCCTTGTACAACACACTGGAGTACAGCCTAGGGTAGTAACTCTCTTACACAATCTTAAAGTGCTTGGTAAATACCCTGGGCTTGTACTAGGCTGTTGGACATCTTTGTGCTTTTGGAAAACTGTTCACTTCTGGCCAGATGAGTTTGAAAATATCACACCCTCTAGATAGTTACAGCCTTCTAGGTTCATGACTTGGCTGGGGTACAGAGATTTTGTGAGAATAAAAAGTGCACACCTTCCTCCAATAGGGCACATGGCATGGGAAAGAGAGTAGAGGCTGTTTTTCAGCCTCCATTGCCCCATGGTTGGATGTGTTTGTGCAGGACGCAGCTGCATAAGCAAATGTCCCTATGCATCCCTATGACTTTAACAATTTTGCTCTTTGGCATATATTTCAGAGGAATTTGCACAGAGGTCCATAAGGGACCACGGACAAGGACGATCGTGGCTGTATTACCTGATGTATTGGAGAATTAGAGGCAGCCTTGTTACCTAACACCTCGGGAATGGAAGTGAAGTGTGGTAGATGCCCCTTCTGAAACGCTGTGCAGTACTCAGAAGCAATGAACTAGAATATGCTTGCCAATCGCAACGAGGACAGATCCTTAAAAAGAATGTTGAGTGAAAAAAGTAGAAAATAAGATAATCTCCAAAGTCCAGTAGCATTATTTAAACATTTTTTAAAAATACACTGATAAAAATGCTGTACATTTCCCAAAAATACATATGGAAGCACAGTAGCATGAATACCTATGGGGTTGAGGATAGGGGTTGGGAGTAGGGGTGGGGATAAAGGGAGAAAATAAAACCAGATAGGAATCTTACACATTTCACAAACCAAGGAGTATAATTATTTCAACTATTTGTACCTGAAGTCCAGAAAGAGTGGAGGCAGAGGGGAGAGAAGAGGGCAAAGAAACGGTTTTGGGAGTGGGATCCCAGAAGAAAGATTTTCGTGATGTGGTGCTACATACGTTTTTCCAGGATATCTTAAGCTCTGCACCCTATTTTTCTCACCACTAATATTAGATTAAATCCTTTGAAGACAGCATCTGTGGTTTCTCTACTTCAGCTGTCCCTCCGTGTCTTGCACACAGTAGCTGTTTTACAAGGGTTGAACTGACTGGAAGTGAGATTATTCCTCGTTGTCTTAGAAGGCAGAGAGAAGCCGTCTGTCCTTCCCTCATCCAGAAACTTCTGCTCCACATTTCCTTCCAAGCGTTAGTCCTCGGTTCTCCATGCTTGGCTCCCTAGTCCCCCACCGTCCTTTCTGGGTGGCCTCTTCCCATTCGCCCACTTCTTTCTCCTGGGTGTCTCCATCTGCCCGCACTGTGGGACTCCTCCCAGCCTCTCAGGGGCACCGCTCCCTTATTTCCTTGGCTCCGCCCCATTCGGGAGATATTTGCATATTTCTCTGAGGAACCCTGCCCAGGTGCCAGCCTCAGAAGCTCCTCCCCTTTCGAATTCCCGCTAGCGCCCCTAGAGGGCGTGTCGGTTGCCAGGCGACGGGACGACGCGCCGAGCGCGGGTTTCCGCTCGGGGCGGGCGATAGAGACAGCGCGTCGCGCCTTTAGCTTGTTTCCCAGACTCCCGCCCAGCTCCTGCGATCTCCACAGCAGCCTCTGAGGCCGCCCCCAGAGAGCATCAGGATGGCTGAGGTCAGGAGTCAGCGCCCCTCTGTCGCCTCTCCCTTGACCCCTCCCCATTGTCCCTCTCCTGCTGACGATTGTTACAAACGGTGATTCCAATATTCCCCCTCATGAACATCTTATCTGTCTGCACCCTCACTCACTCCCCCGCCTTTCTCCGTTGGCTCTGGTCCCTTTACCTCCTGTTTCTCCTTCAATTGTGTGGACACCCCCCTACCCCCACTGTGGCATCTGTGTTATGCTAAGTGTGGTAGGAAATTAGTGAATTCTGAAATCCACACGTGACATGCACCCAGCCCTAGATCTTCAGTCATGGAGTGATACCACAAGAGAGGCTCACACAGAAATATTGGAGATGTCTTATCTCACAGGAGAAACCTGGACGAAAGCTTCACAGATGCCTGCTGTTATCCCAATCAATGGCCCTTGTCCACCTATCACACCCTGATTTCCTAACATATGATCACCTGCTGTCACACATCTTCATTAAGGCTCTTCTGCCCAACACCACTGCCCTGTGTGCTCATTGGCTCCTGTGTTAACTCTTGTATCACCCCACCACTCCCCCATATTACAGTACACCCCATTTTCAGCCTCTCTAATGAGGGGTTATTTCTGCAACCCTTCAATGACACCCTGCCTGCCCCCCAGCCCCCTCATTTGTAACCTCAAGAGCCTCGGGTCCCTGTCATTACTTGCCATTCACAGTCCCCATCCACTGTTGCCCTACCTAAATCCTTCATGGCCCCATCAGAGCCCTTCGCCTATCACCCATCCCACAGTCTGTTCCAGCCAGGACCAGCTACATGATTTGCAAGGCCTGATGCAAAGTGAAAACACAAAATCTCTTCAAAAATTACAAAGAATTTTAAGACAGAACAACAGAGCATTCAACCAAGAATGGGACCTTTCTGAGCAAGGGGCCCTGTGCAACTGACCAGTTTTCACTCCCATGAAGCTAGCCTAAGCCCCATCTTCTTTCAGCACTATCATGCTCCACACCCCCCACCCCGTTCTAGTTACTCCCTTGCTTCCTCTGCACCATTCACATCCTCTCATCATTGCTTTTCCTCTTTCTCTAGCTTTATAAATTCCATCTTCCTCTGATCAACACCTCCTTCCTTTCCTCATCATACGATCTCTTTCTTATCATCCATCTTCCTCACTCCTGGGCTCCATCACTCTCATCTCTCTCTGACATCCATGCTGCTGTGGCCACATCACTTCTCCCCATTACCCATTGTCATTTGTGTCTCTTTCTTTCCATTTCCTTTCTTCTTCCTTCTAGTTCTTTATTGTCCCATTATTGCTTTTGAGTGTTTTCTCCTCTTTTCTCCCACTAGTCATCTTTGTTTATTTCATTCTTCACTCCCAGTAGGGAAGCCCCAGCCTCCCAGAGGCACCGCCCCCTCATTTCCTTGGCTCTGCCCTATTCAGGATATATTTGCATATTTCTCTGAGGAACCCTGCCCAGGTGCGGGCCTCAGAAGCTCTTCCATTATTTGGATTAGTTATTTCCATTTCCCTCTGTCTGTTACTCCTCTCGTTTCTTCCTTTCTTCTGCTTTTCTTCTTACTTGACCTCAGCCAACTTTCTCGCCTCTGCTTTCACGATTCTCTATTTTCCCTCTGGCCTCACCTTATATTGCAGTTCTCTTTTCCTTTTCCTTCTCCCCAGTAATTGATATTCCCAGAACTTAGGACAGGACAGTGCCTGGCACATAGCAAACACTCAGTGAATAGGTAAAGAATAAAGAAATGCCACAGTTCCTTTCTGATCGGTTCATGTTGATTTCATGCTTCTGAAACAGATACTATTATATACTATAACAGTGGAAATATCAACTGTTTATTGGCCAAAGCTAAGAGTTTATTTTCCTTTGCTTTTAAAAGTAATATACTTTTTAATAACAATAGGAACAAATCTCTTTTGTTGCTAAAAGTTTCTTCAAAACTTTTCCTTCTTTGGTATTTTTCCATTCCTGTGCTAAGTGCCAGGTAAATAGGTAAAACTTGGACTGCAAACAAATCATTAGGCTGCTGATCAGGTGTTGACATTAATACCATTTACAGGGATGGAACCAAGAACATTGTAGTGATAACTTTTTGTGCGTGCTTATGTTTAGCATCAACAAGGGAGAAGCACAGAGCAGTAGCAACACCATATTTCCTTAATATGGTTTTTCCTCCTTTGTGGAATTACTACATTGTGGTCTTTGCAATAATCTGCTTTTAGTCAGGAAGAAAAACCTATGTGAATTTAAAATTAGCACTAAAGTTGTTATACAAAATGCTATAGATATGCTTGTGACTCTACATTTATTTTAATTTACAAAGACTGTGTTTTGCTTGCATGTCATCGTTAGAGATTTAATTAATAGTACAAGTGTTTCTGAAAACCAAAAATATTTAGACTTTCTCCATATTGGGCAAGACAGGCTTGTCAAATAGAAGGTAAACGAGACTCCTTAAAAATCTTCAGGGTGAATTGAAATTTTACTTTATTATTGGGACTAGAGATTGTTTCAGTTGGTTTCTTTTAGCAAGAGAGTGTTGATACCAAAGCCCTTTGTAGAGTAGAATATTAAAACATAATGTTGCAAATGTAAGTAAGGCCTTGCAAGCCTTATGAGTCCTTTGCTCAAAAGTATTGAGTGGTTCCCTGTGGCTTGCAGAGTAATGCAATCCATACTCCTTGGAATGTAATTCAGTGTCTTCACTGTGTGTCTCTAACTCCCTAGCTAGTGTTTGGCTTCCTTCTCCCTGTCATACCTCTTATCCTTTTCTAAAATGTGCACAGACTTTTTTAAACCTTTATTTTAGGTTCATGGATAAATGTGTAGGTTTGTTATATAGGTTAATTGAATGTCACGAGGGTTTGGTATACAGATTATTTCATCACCCAAGTAGTAAGCATAGTACCTGATAGGTAATTTTTCAGTTCTTTACCCCCTCCCACCTTCTACCCTCAAGTAGGCCCCAGTGTCTGTTCCCTTCTTTGTGTCCATGTGTACTCAGTGTTTAGCTCCCAGTTATAAGTGAGAACATGTATTTGGTATTCTGTTCCTGCATTAGTTAGGATAATGGCCTCTAGCTCCATCCATGTTGCTGCAAAGGACATGATCTCATTCTTTTTTTATGGCTGAGTAGTATTCCATGGTGTATATGTACCACATTTTTCCTTTTTTGTTTTGAGATGGAGTCTCACTCTGTTGCCAGGCTGGAGTGCAGTGGACAATCTCAGCTCACTGCAACCTCTGCCTCCCTGGTTCAAGTGATTCTCCTGCCTCAGCCTCCCGAGTAGCTGGGATTACAGGTGCCCACCACCACACCCAGGTAATTTTTATATTTTTAGTAGAGATGGGGTTTTACCATGTTGGCCAGGCTGGCCTTGAACTCCTGACCTCAGGCGATCCACCCGCCTTGGCCTCCTGAAGTGCTGGGATTACAGGTGTGAGCCACTGTGCCTGGCCCATGTACCATATTTTCTTTATCCAGTCTACTGTAGATGACATTTAAGTCGATTCTATGTCTTTGCTGTTGTGAATAGTGCTGTGATGAGCATACGCATGCATGTGTCTTTATGGTAGAATGATTTATATTCCTTTGGGTATATACCCAATAATGGAATTGCTGGGTCAAGTGGTAATTCTAAGTTCTTTGAGAAATTGTCACACTGCTTTCTATGATAGCTGAACTAATTTACATTCCCACCAGTAGAGTATGTTCCCTTTTCTCTATAACCTTGCCAGCATCTGTTATTTTTTTACTTTTTAATGAAGCCATTCTGACTGGTGTGAGATGGTATCTCATTGTGGTTTTGATTTGCATTTCTCTAATGATTAGCGATGTTGAGCATTTTTTTTCATATGCTTGTTGTCTGTGTGTATGTCTTCTTTTGAAAAGTGTGTGTTTATATCCTGTCCACTTTTTAATGGGGATGTTTGTTTTTTGCTTGTTATTTTATTTAAGTCCCTTATAGATTCAGAATATTAGACCTTTGTTGGATGCACAGTTTGCAAATGTTTTCTCCTATTTTGTGGGTTGTCTGTTTACTCTGTTGATAGTTTTTTTTTTTTTTTTTTTT